CAATGGGCTGCCTTTTAATGTGAAGTGCGGTTGAAAAGAACATGATTGAAAGTAGTGAAACACAATTTCATCTCTTGATAGTTGGTATCTTCAAATAATCAATGGGCTGCCTTTTAATGTGAAGTGCGGTTGAAAAGAACATGATTGAAAGTAGTGAAACACAATTTCATCTCTTGATAGTTGGTATCTTCAAATAATCTGGGAATATTTTGGTTATTACAGGAGATTACAGAAAGCTTCCTTAGTTTTTTTTAAAAATGCTTTTTTAAACAACAAAAATGTGCACTGAAAAAATCCCTGGCAACTGAAGGTGTTGGAAATTAACCATAAGCTTTTTATACATTTTGTTTTTTTATTTATTTATAAACACATTACATATTCTCATTATTGCAGCATTGCTTGTTCCCTTTCAGCAAGTATCTTTTAGTTATTGGGTATTATTGTTACGGATCATATGTCTAGGAGAATTATACACTACGCTTATACATGTTTTATTTATTTATTATCATGCAGGACCTTCGGTCGCAATTGCAGGAGTTGATTCCAGAGCAACAGGTATCTCTCATGTCTAGATTGTCTATGATATTTAACTGTTTCATACCCCTTGTTTGGTTCTACCTAAACCTATTATCTTGAGAATTTATATCAAATTCATCCTTAGTTCAGTATAATTTGCTTTTTGTTTTTTAATAATTTTTTATCCTCTATTATTCACTGTTCATACAATTGTGCTCTTGGCCAAGAATCGGGTGTATCTTCCTCCTGACTGGCATTCTTGGTTTAAAATAGTTGTACTGTAGTAGTCTTGCACGATGTCAGTTCAAAAGTACCAAACTTTGAACTTACCAATATGGCATCCAGCTGTGCCTTAGATACAGTTCAATGTGTCAGCCTCTAGGGTTGCATAAGCATTGGTTGAACATGTCTATCTAATAAGGTATCACTTGAGTGTGGAGCATTGTTGTAAATGAGAGCATTTCTGCACATGGACACAAATTTTATATTGTAATGTTATATTTCAGTATTTGTTATCACTAGCGAAAATAACTATGTTCTGTAATCTTTACACTCTTCCTTCTCTCTTTGCATTGTATTAATAATATAACATTTAGACTTATGTTCCCTTGTGCTTATAATTGCTTGATTTCTTGAGTCTTACCCTGTTTATTTTACTATACATTGCAGGAGCGGTTGAAGAAGCTAAAATCAGAACATGGAAAAGTTCAACTTGGCAACATCACTGTGGATATGGTGCTCATCTCAACAAATTATGGATATGTCAATTTTATATTTCCCATGTGGCTGTGTGGGCAACACACCTATTACTGGCACATAGCCGATAGTGTGTGGATAATGTTAATTGATCTCAAGTCGTTGAATTTTGATAGGTTATAGGTGGAATGAGAGGAATGACTGGATTATTGTGGGAAACATCATTACTTGATCCTGATGAGGTGAGTTTGATTGTAATATATGCTATGTATTGAAGACAAGTGCACTTCTTTTTTATAAATATTGCCAAAAGAATGAAAATTTGATACAACATCAACAGAGTTTTGGTGTGCTTCCTTCTAGAATGTCTGAGCCTGGCCAAAATATTTAAATAGATGACACAACTTTTATATTTTCAGGGTATTCGTTTTAGGGGGCTTTCTATCCCTGAATGCCAGAAAGTATTACCTGCTGCAAGCGGTGGGGAGGAGCCATTACCCGAGGGTCTTCTGTGGCTTCTTTTGACTGGAAAGGTGATTATTGACTTGCTTCTATTGTAATCACAAGGATATTTTTCATGTATTTTCCCTAATTGTTGCCAGTGTTTGTTTGTCATTTTTGGTGCTGTTTTACATGATATCCTATTGTGTTCGGAGAAAGAAGTTGCAACTAGTTATCAGTTTGACATGATATCTTATTTTGTTTAAAGCAAGAGTTTATTATATTTTGTATCTTTTGTTGACTTTTCATTTATAGATGAGCATATTTTAATCTATAAGACTCGTAGCTTTGATTAGACTTACTTTTTCATCCATCGTAGTATTTAGCTAATAGCTAATATATCTGTATAAGTGAATTTTTAGTTGCCTCTTAGACTTCCCCCTTTTTATATTTATTTTAAATGTGTGTCCGCGAGCGCATGCATGTGAGAAAATTTACATTGGGTGAGCTACCCTGCTAGTCACATCGGATTAGGTAATTCCCATCTCTTGGTGGGTTATTTTGCTAAATGAGGTGGCATCTCATATCCAATATCCCCTCCCCTCGCAACCAACACCTACCCCTCCACGCACACTCTCTCCCTCTTTTTGTATGGTGGAAGATGATTAAGTCAAAGTGATTTCTGTTATTAAATACTTCTTGTTTTCCTTTCTTAGGTACCGAACAAAGAGCAAGCTAGTGCACTATCCAAGGAGTTGCAGAGTCGTTCTACTGTTCCAGGTTTCCAATTAACCAGCTTCCTTTTTAGTGTTCATTAGTCATGAAACAATTTCTCTCTCTTGGAAGAAAGTTTGATTGTAGGCATGACCTTAAGCTACATACTGCTCAGCATGAACTTCTGCATTTGCAAGTTAATGAGCCATTGCATATGCTTGTTTATTTGGAGATAACTCATCTGTAAACTTATAATGTTATCTATGATTAACGTTTATATCCATACATGCCATCTTTTGCTATTGCTTATAATGGTTAGGATATTGAGAATAAAAGAATTGAATCAAGTGGTTTGTGGCCTTGAAGACTAGTTATTTCTGCTAATATTCGTATATGCTTGATTATAGGCAAAGTAGATAATTGTTCGATTGATTTTCCATTCATGGTGATGATGATATTTTACAGTATAAACCTCAGCCAAGTACTGTGTCATTATTGAATGTCGTGTTTGATTCCTCTGCGAATTAATAGTTATCTAAGCTTTTGTGTGCTATGTCTATACCAGCTCAACACCTTGAATTACTTGCCCACTATGTTTGGACGATCTGATGCTTAAATATTCAAACTGGACTTTAAACTTTGTTAGTAGGACAAAGATGAATTTAGAGCATGTTCATAGGACAAAAAATCGTCTTGCAAGTTCATGATTCATAATTTGTTGATTTCTTATGACACCATTCCAGTTATATGCAACCAAACATGCCAGATCCTGGGAAATGCTCGCTAGATATTGATGGATGTCAATACAGGGATATTCATGCTAAGGAGATTCTCATGCTTGAAAAAGAGAGATCCTAAACAATATTTGTTTGCCTACCCTGCAAGCTCACTCTTGAATGACAATTTGGACGCCTTTAATATTCCTATTCTCAAATGCAACATTTAAATGTGAACTATACCCCTTTTAAATATTTTGACTGTGTTGGTTGAGGTGATCCTTCTGTAGATGCTCTAATTGTTCCATTTAACTAGTGAACTTACTTGTTTATTATTGGAATTTGACTGCAGATTGTGTTTATAAAGCAATAGATGCTCTTCCTCTTAATGCTCATCCAATGACACAATTCACCACAGGAGTCATGGCACTTCAGGTAATGAGTTATCTTCATATATGTTCAGGTGGTATTATGGGTGTGGCTACAATGGAAGTATGTTTCAAACACTTATCTGGACCATATTCTACATGCTAGTTTGTGACAATGAGCAGGAATATCTGTGCACATGATCGAATGTGTTTGCTTTAAGATGCTGCTGGAAGGTGTTCTATGCAGTATTTATGTATAAATACTTTTGGTTTTTTGACCAGTTGTGGTTACACACACACGCGTGCTAGCTGCATCTGTTGAATATTCAATATTAATACAACATAGGGACTTGGATGTTATTTTCTGTGCCTGAAAGATTTTTTTTTTGCTGCTTTGGTGACGTGGTCTATTGGGAGAGAGTGGACTACTGTATTTTGCCATGAGAACCTCAATCAGTAATATGATATATTGGACACTTGTTCTGACCCAAAATCTTGGTCCAACACTGTTGGCACAACATTTGTGTTCATCCATGCCCGATACTTGCAATGAGCAAACCTTTACTCATCCCCTTTTCTCCCAGTGTTTCCTTTTCAAATGAAATAAAAAGATGATATTTTGATTGTAACCAGTAAGAAGGTTTCTATCATTAACTTGGGCTTATCCTTTTTTTATTCAATTTTCTCATATATGATTCAGCTTAAGAGGTGGTTCTTGTTGCCTGATTTTAGGTTCAAAGTGAGTTCCAAAAGGCATATGAGAGTGGTATCTCCAAAGCAAAGTGAGCCCTGTTTTTATTTGTGAGCATATTGTAACAACTCATATGGGATCTGCAATAACTGAAATTATTACCTATTGATATTTCGTAGGTATTGGGAGCCTACATATGAGGACTCCCTGAACTTGATCGCTCGACTTCCAGTTGTAGCATCTTATGTTTATCGGAGGTAAGCAGTTATGGGCATAGAATTCTACATACGTGATATCTGCTTATGCATCTTGAGAATTGTTCTCTAGACCCAAATTGTATGATCAGATTTTAAATCTAGTGTGTAGAGTTTAAGCTGGCTTAATTATTTGCATTTGATGAGAATTGTAACTTCAACCTCTTTTTATCATCCTCTCTTATTATTTGGTCCATCCCCCTCTAAAAAAGAAAAAGAAAAAACAAGACAAAAAATAAAAAAAGTGATATATATATATATAATATATATATATGAGAAAACGGGAGGTGAGCTGACAGCGTAGGAAAATTCCTGCGCTGCTACCACGTGTCAAATTTTAATTCGATTGTCACACATTAGCAATAATTACTAAAATAACAATTAAGATTTGACATTAATTTGCAATTTAAATAAAACAAGGACTTAGATGCAAAAACTCCCACATTTCCTTACCCAAAACCCGTATATATATATGAGAAAACGGGAGGTGAGCTGACAGCGTAGGAAAATTCCTGCGCTGCTACCACGTGTCAAATTTTAATTCGATTGTCACACATTAGCAATAATTACTAAAATAACAATTAAGATTTGACATTAATTTGCAATTTAAATAAAACAAGGACTTAGATGCAAAAACTCCCACATTTCCTTACCCAAAACCCGCTGCTTTCTCATCTTCCCCAAAACCAAATGAAAAGTTTCTCTTTAGCCAAATAAAAAGTTTCTCATCTTCCCCAAAAGCTGCGGATCGATGGATCGCCATGGATGAGGCCATCGAATAAATGGAGGTGAAGGAACGATTGGGGGTTTGGACGAGGGTTTAGCCGTTTAATGAGTGGATACGTTAGATATTTTTTGATTGATCTGGTGTCATATCTGCTGGGTTTGATTTGGTTCAATTGGCTCACTTGAAAGCTTGCAGCCCATCGATTGGGTTTTATAGGTTTTTTTGATGTTGTTGTTGCTGTTGCTGCTGCTGTTGATGTAATGTGTTTTTCACAATGTAGTTTGAACTAAATTTGTTCAATGTGGTCAAATGGAACCTTGTTGCGCCATCGCTTACTGAGTTAACCAAAATACACTCAAATGAGTGCAACAGAGACTAGTAAGTTACAAAAACCATATGCATTTGCCAATCGAAAGTATTTTTGTAACGTCTACAACACCATAAAATACTTTCCAAAAAATACAAACAACATCAAATATATAATTATATGGTCATATTCCCAAGTCGATGCACAAGGCCTCAAAGGCTGTCAAAACTTAAAAATGAGAGAGCATGTCTTTGTCTGTAACAGAAGAGATGCATTCTTGAACAACTTCTGCCAGCAATAACTCATGATTCATTAGAGATCATATACAAGATGGGTTCAATTGCAAAAAAAAATTCAAATATCGGCGAATGATATTTGGGATACGAAGATGGAGGAGGAATAAAAGTAGCGGTTTCGGTTTTGGGGAAGATGAGAAAGCAGCGGCTTTTTGGGAAGGAAATGTGAGACTTTTTGCATCTAAGTCCTTGTTTTATTTAAATTGCAAATTAATGCCGAATCTTAATTGTTATTTTAGTAATTATTGCTAATGTGTGACAATCAAATTAAAATTTGACACGTGGCAACAATGCAAGAATTTTCCTACGCTGCCAGCTCACCTCCTGTTCTCTCTTTCTCTCTCTCTCTCTCTTTCAAGGCAGACATCGTTAATGATAGGGCTAATATTTTTCTCCATACGAGTACATCCATATTGAAAAAATCGCATCCTTCTAACAACCAGCATTTCATGCATTCTTTTTTCTTTTGGAGGATTTGCATTTTTGTTGTTAGCGTAGCTCTAGAGTATCTTAGTAGTACTTATCTTTCTTTTATGATGTGGATAGTAAGCAACATGTTTTAAGAACTATGTTGTGCCAACAGTTCATTGTTAAATAAATTACTTAACTACATTTTGCAGGATATATAAGAATGGGCAAGTTGTACCTGCCGACAATTCTTTAGATTATGGTGCAAATTTTTCTCACATGCTTGGGTTCGACGACCCCAAAATGCTGGAGTTGATGAGGCTATATGTTACTATTCACAGGTTGTTTGGCTCATTGTGATTACTTCTCTTTTTTTGCAACTATTTATTAGTAGACAACACCTATTAATTGATTCTTAACACTTTTCTCATGTTGCAGTGATCATGAAGGGGGAAATGTCAGTGCACATACCGCTCATCTGGTAATATGATAACATTATTCTTTACTAATCAGTCATTTTGTATGTTTTTTTAAAAAATTGTGCACTTAATTAAGTATTAGGTAATTATCACAACTTTTTCGAACCAGCAGCATTCTTCTCACTGAAGTTCAGCATGGAAAAATGATGTGGAACTTATGCTCCTAAAAGCAGCCTAGTTTGCTGCTGCACTCAACAGGAGGATGACCACCTTGATAATTTCTGATCTATGTGCCTACATGCTAGGTCTTTGCTATAATTATAAGTTAACTTACCAATTTATTTGTAAACTTTCTTGTATTTTTTCTAATTTTCCTTCGTAAAACATTTTCCAATATTCAAAATATCCTAATTAAGAAGCACTGAAGTTGCTGCCTAGCTCCTAAGGGTATAGGTAGTCGTTGATTGCTTTTTGGGATATTGATTGAAATTTTTGTCATTAGGATCATTTGATAAGTTGCTGATAGTATAATATTCATTTACTGGCAAATGATCCTGGTAACCAGGTTGCTAGTGCCCTTTCAGATCCATACCTTTCATTTGCAGCTGCTCTGAATGGTTTAGCTGGTCCGCTTCATGGTCTGGCTAATCAGGTAATTTTTATTTATGTTACTCGTTCCTTTTATTATTCACCTTCAAAACATCCCAGTATGTTCTTACATGACAGGTTACCTGTTTTCCATGTAAAATTTTTTATTTATCAGCTTGCCACAGAATTTTGGGATAAACCAAATTCAGTTCCCGCGTGTTTTTTTCCTCTTGTTTTGGGCCAATATTGAGTTTGTTTCAGTTAAGTCATAAGTGAAAACTGGTCTGAAGTTTTTGGTGTTGTTTGCTTTGATATTTAGTGTCTGATTTAATCATGCAGTTCTGATGAGTATCAAGAGACCAAATAGTATCCCATGCATACCTGTTTTCCCGTTTGTATGATTAAGGCCAATATAGTTATCAATTTAAAGCAGGTCAGGGGGACATAGATAAACCAACACTAACACCAATCAACAAGTTCTAAACAATCATCAAAGAATATAGATAGTTATCATTTTCAACGTGGATGATGTTTATTTTGCTTCTATTGGCTATTCAATGGTGAGGAAAAACAAAGTTTACTTTGTCGCCTCACCCTCATTAATGTTTAGAGCCCTAAGGAATATGCTCTAGTTGCTTCATTTCCTTGTGATATTTTACTTTTTCGGAAGGTTTTCTCTGTGGCCTGAACAAAGTCAGGCATTTTTTGTAGTGTAATATGAGGTGAAGAGAATTGTATTAACTTATCTTTCATTGAGAAAATAACATGTATTTATATACAAACTAGAGAAGCTATTCTAGGAAAATAGGAGAATATAGGAAACTAAAATAATTACAATTAATCCTAATTGACAACTATCTAATTGACAGCTATCTAATTGACAGCTAATATATAACACTCCTCCTCAAGCTGGAGCATAAATGTTAATCATGCCCAGCTTGTTACAAAGATAATCAACCCGCACCCCCATTTAAAGCTTTTGTGAAGATGTCCCCTAGTCGTTCTCCAGTCTTTACATATCCTGTAGAGATCAAGCCTTGTTGAATTTTCTCACGAACAAAATGACAATCAATTTCGATGTGCTTAGTCCGCTCATGGAACACGGGATTAGATGCAATATGAAGAGCAGCTTGGTTATCACACCGTAATTTTGCTGGTACTGAAGTTTTAAATCCTACTTCAGTCAATAGCTGATATATCCACATTATCTCGCACACAGACTGTGCCATAGCCCTATATTCTGACTCTGCACTGGATCATGACACAACATTTTGCTTCTTACTCTTCCAAGAGACCAAATTTCCTCCAACAAAAACACAATAACCTGAAGTGGATCTTCTATCCATCTTGGAACCTGCCCAATCTGCATCTGAGAAACACTCAATATGAGTGTGCCCATGATCCGCATACACGATACCTCGTCCTGCGGCAAGGTTTTAAATATCGGATATCGGGGAAATATCGGATGACCAAAATTCATATCAGATTGCGGATATCGGGAAAATATCGGGGATATGTGGTAAATATCGGAATGCCATAATGAATGTTTGCATACATAGTATAATGTATTAAAATGTAATCTCAACATATGTAATGAAATTTAAGCATACAAAATATGAATAATATATGTTTAGGATCACTAATCAACCTTCTAAAACAAACAAAAGTGCAAAGCAACATTGCAATATTCGAAAAATGTCATTTGATATAATGGGGAAATCTTGATATCTCGCCCAAATATTCCAAACACGGTATATTATTTTGCAACAAGCTATATAAAAAGATATATTGGTCGACATATATCGGCTAATATATCGGCCATATCGGGGATTTATCACTCAAAATAGCCAAAAAGCGGTAAAGGATATTTAAAGACCATATCGGTTGCGGCAAGCCCTGTAAAAGGATATATCGGGGGATATATCGGGCCATGTCGGGGATATTTAAAACAATGCGTCCTGGTGCTCCTTTCAAGTAACACAGAATTTGCTCTAACGCTGCCCAATGATGAATTGTTGGGGATGACATAAACTGACTGACAACACTAACTGAGAATTTGCTCTAACGCTGCCCAATGATGAATTGTTGGGGATGACATAAACTGACTGACAACACTAACTGAGAATGCAATATCTGGACGAGTCACGGTAAGGTAATTCAACTTTCCAACCAACCTACGATATTTTTCAAGGTCTTCAAATGGTTCCCCATTTCCTGTAAGGTGCAAATTTGGACTCATTGGAGTACTACAAGGCTTTGCTCCCAATTTTCCTGTCTCAGTCAATAAGTCAAGGATATATTTTCTCTGAGATAGAAAAATACCTTGTTTACTCCGAGTGACTTCAACTCCCAAGAAGTACTTGAGCACCCCTAAATTTTTTGTGTGAAACTGAGTATGAATGAAAGATTTAAGGGATGAGATTCCTCTAGTATCATTTCCCCAGTAATAACAATGTCATCCACATATACAACTAACAAAATGATACCAGCAGTTGATTGTTTATAGAACACAAAATGATCTGACTTGCTTTTCAACATACCAAATTTCAACCATATAAAGATTTTCGAAGACGACAAACTCGCCTTGACTCTCCCTGAGCAACAAAACCAGGAGGTTGCTCCATATACACCTCTTCCTGAAGATCACCATGAAGAAAAGCATTCTTGATATCTAGCTGATGTAAAGGACAATGATGAGTAGCTGCCATTGAAATAAACAATCGAACATATGTCAACTTAGCAATAGGAGAAAAAGTATCACAATAGTCCACTTCATAGGTTTGAGCATAACCCTTAGCAACAAGACGGGCCTTCAATCGAGCAATTGATCCATCTGGATTGACCTTAACAGTGAATACCCATTTGCACCCTATGACCCGTTTTCCTAAAGGTAAATCGATCAAGTCCCAAGTACCATTGACATCTAAAGCATTCATCTCTTCTATCATTGCATTATGCCAACCAGGATGAGATATGGCTTCACGAACAGTCTTAGGAATAGAGATAGGAGCAAGAGGAAGATGACAAGTGATTATAAGAAACAAAAGAAGAAATAGGATAAGTGCACTGACGTTTACCTTTACGTACGCAATAGGAAGATCATTGCTTGGGACCGGATTTGATGACGAAGAAGCAGGTGTAGGACATGAAACAGGAGGTGAACGCCTGGAGTATACTTTAATAGGAGGCATGTCAGGAGCTGTGTCTGAGACAAGTTGAGGAATAGGAGACTCGTCGGGAAGTGTGTCAAGGTCAAAAGTTGTGATAGAATATACCAATAAATCATCCTCCTCCCACTGACGAGTAGGAATAGATGAAGACGAAAAGTAAGGTGAGTTTTCCATGAAGGTAACATCAATTGAGACAAGATATTTTTTAAGATTGGGACAATAACACCTATATCCTTTCTGAAGACGAGAATAACCAATTAATACACACTTCAATGACTTGGGATCTAATTTGGTGACATGTGGACGAACATCTCGAGCAAAACAAGTACTGCCAAATATCCTAGGATCAACAGAAAACAATGACTTACCGGGAAAAAGGATTTTGTAAGAGATATCACCATTAAGAACAGAACATGGCATGCGATTGATAAGAAAACATGCTGTGGAAACAGCATCGGCCCAATAATGTTTAGGAACATGCATTTGAAATAAGAGGGCTCGTGCAGTTTCAAGAAGATGTCTGTTTTTACGTTCTGCTGCACCATTTTAGGATGCAGTATCAACACAAGAAGTTTCATGAAGTATGCCATTAGAAACCATATAAGAGTGAAATAAAGCAGATGTATATTCTTTGGTATTATCACTTCGCAAAGTACGAATTGAAACATTTGATTCTTAATCTCAGCACAAAATACACAAAATATAGAAAACAACTCAGAACGATTTTTCATTAAATATAACCAAGTTATACGAGAGTAATCATCCACAAAAGTAACAAAATACCTGAATCCAGATTTAGACAAAATAGGAGGACCCCAAATATCAGTATGAACTAATTCAAAAGGAACACTAGCACGTTTATTGACTCGAGGTCTCGAACTAAGACGATGGTGTTTGGCAAATTAACACGACTCACAATCTAATGAAGACACCTTACTATATTGCGGACAAAGTTTCTTGAGCAAAGGAAGAGATGGATGGCCCAACCGACAATGAGCCTCAAAAGTGGAAGTGACACTCGAACAAGCAATAGAAGTTGGTAGCGGTATGTCAAGAACATAGAGGCCTCCAGACTCATGTCCTTTACCAATAATCTTCTTCGTCATAAGATTCTGAAATAAACAATGATCGGGAAAGAATGAGATGCAACAATTGAGATTACGAGTGAGTTGACTGTCAGAGAGCAAATTGAAGGATAAACTAGGTAAATGTAAAACAGATGACAAAGTAAACAGAGGTGTAGGAGTAATAGTGCCAGATCCACGAACACAAGATGGTGACCCATCAGCTAAAGTAACAGTAGAAGTGGAAGTGTGAGCATGAAAAGTAGAAAAGAGACCGGAGTTACCTGTCATGTGATCTGTGGCACCAGAATCAATGACCCATTTGGAGGATGAGAAAGAAGACACGCATTAGATTTACCTGAATCAGCAATAGCAGTGACAGAAGGAGATGACGACTTGAGTGATTCTTGATACCGTGAGAACTTGGCAAATTCATCAGCAGAAATAAGGACCGATTTATTAGAGGCATCATTAGTACTCACAACATTAGCAGAGTGTTTTTGCTGGTTTTTAAACTGTAGCTTTCTACATTCAAACTTGGTGTGGCCTGGCTTTTTACAGTAGTTGCAAATAATGCCTCCAGAATCCGGTGTTCGAGTTTCAAATCCTTGCGAACTGCCTCCTCTGTGTCCACTTGGAGTATAAGATTTTCCAGGCGCATAATTATTACGACTCACCAAAGCACTATTAAGAGGAACGAATGGGGTAATTTCTGTGCGAAGAACTCGGCTAAAGACATCTTGTAAAGAGGAGACATCAGAACCAGAAAGAATCTGTGCCTTCGCAGAATCAAATTCAGATGAGAGCCCTGCTAAAAAGCTCATGATAGCCATCTGCTCTCTCTGGTGTTGTTGAACCTTCACATCAGGACTAAATGGCAGTAACATATTAAGCTCCTCATACGTCTTTTTAAATGCCATAAAGTAATTTATAAGGGTCTGATCTTGTTTCTCCACACGGTAGAATGCTTTGCAAACCTCATACATGCGGGAGAGATTGTCTTTTCCAGAATACAAAAATTCTAAATAATCCATTAGTTCTTTAACCAACTCACAGTGATTGATCAAGTCAATTACCTCACTGTCAATACAATTCCGGATTTGAAGGAAAAAGCGAGCATCCTCCCTGAGCCACGTCTGCCTCGAATCATCTTTCTCTTTAGGAGGATCATCAGTCAAATGGTCATCTTTGTCAATACTTCGTAGATAAAGCCGAATCATCTTTCTCTTTAGGAGGATCATCAGTCAAATGGTCATCTTTGTCAATACTTCGTAGATAAAGCCAAACAGTCTTGCTCCACTCCAAGTAATTCGAACCAGTCAGTCTATGGTCCGTGATTTTAGACATCACAGGAACTACATCAGATACGACCACTGATTGTGTCTCTGATTTATTCTCAGGCATAACTCCGGAACGAAAACGGACGCCGGAGATGGGGCCCACGCGCAGGGAGCCTGACCACCGGACTTTGGGGAACAGAAAGTGTTTATTCAAAAAACCCTAATTTTGTAGCAAAATTCAAATTTCGTATGCTCTGATACCATGTAATATGAGGTGAAGAGAATTGTATTCACTTATCTTTCATTGAGAGAATAACATGTATTTATATACAAACTAGAGAAGCTATTCTAGGAAACTAGGAGAATATAGGAAACTAAAATAATTACAATTAATCCTAATTGATAGCTATCTAATTGACAACTATCTAATTGACAGCTATCTAATTGACAGCTAATATATAACAGTAGTTATATACTGGATGGAAATTTAAAAGTTTTTATGGTTATGCTTATGATGTTACTGTAGCCAATGTTTACTTATTAAGCCAGCCAATGAGCGTAACCAATACTTCACTGAAGTGATTTCTTTTGTAAACTCATATATTTTATGTTTGGTGTTGCAGGAAGTGCTACTGTGGATCAAATCAGTTGTAAAAGAGTGTGGAGAAAATATTTCAACTGAACAATTGAAAGACTACGTGTGGAAAACATTAAATAGAGGCAAGGTGATCTCCGCACACATTTCCAACATCAAATTAGATTGTCAGTTAATGTATAGTAGGTGTAACTGAAAAATGATGCATCTCCGAATCCACGTTCTATACATGAAAATAACTTCAGTAATTGCTAATAAATATATAAAATATCCTCACATTTCTGAAAAGCGAGAACTTTCATTGTAATTTTCTTAATTGGGGAAAGCCCTACTTACTCTGGAGAAGACAAAATATTATAATGGATGGATGATGCCTAAATTAGTTTGTAATTTTGTATTTACGTCTTAAATGCATGAAAATAAATTCACTAACTGCTGATAAATATCTTAAAAATCCTCATATTTACTAAAGAGTGAGGACTTACCGTTGTACTTTTCTTAATACGTGGAAGTCCTATTTACTCTGAACAAGACAATATGTTATAATTGTCGGATGCACAATTATAATGAATATCAATTTTGATGTAACTGTTCGTGTTTGGCATTTCTCATGGAAAGACTATATCTGTGTGCTAATCCGTTTATCTGTTTCTATATCAATTTGTCCATGCAGGTTGTTCCTGGGTTTGGGCATGGAGTCCTACGTAAAACAGATCCAAGATACATGTGCCAAAGGGAATTTGCAAAGAAACACTTACCTGATGACTCACTCTTCCAGCTGGTTATTTTTAACCCTGTTCTATATAGTCCATCCTTCAATTGTGTTGCACACTGATTTCAAATCATGATTTCATTTGTAATATTGCTGTGTAATTTATGATCCTTTCATATTCAGGTGTCGAAATTATATGAAGTTGTTCCTCCAATCCTTACGGAGCTGGGGAAGGTAAGTCTCTGTGTTCAATTTTCATCGCTTTCTTGTCAGATTTATCTCAAGGTTTGATCTATAGAAATCAATGCATAATATTAGTTTTCCTTCCAAACTTTTGATGTTAGCTTTCAACAACTTGAGGTTTTGGTCGATGGTTGGATGGGGGAAAACTAATTTAGCTTGTATGTCTTTACTGAGAAACTATGTAGTGCTTAGGCTTTCTTGGACTCAGTTTGGTCAGGTACTTTTTCTGTTGAGTATCTTCACAAAGTTTTCTTGATTAATTCTTTCAGTTTTGTTTTTTTTGCAGGTTAAGAATCCATGGCCTAATGTTGACGCCCACAGTGGTGTTTTACTGAATCATTTCGGTCTGACTGAAGCTAGGTAAGCTGGTCCAGATCATGACAGATTTTTATCCTTTTTTTCCCCAAGGGATAGTTTCCTTTTGTGTCATAGTGATGTTTTTCTTGCTTGATTTCATTAGTCCTTAGAATTTTCTTTTTTGTCTAATCTCGTTGATCGTAAGTAAGCTTTGCTCACAGTTTTGGTGATTCTCTTCACCTGTAATGGATCAGCAGGTGGAAATTTTAATCATCAAATCATCAATCTTTGTGTGGTTCTGCCAGAGTGTTTAAAAAGTAATTCTGGCTCCAAGAGCGACACCACTCTGCACCTAAGATTGTCTGGTGTATCAAAAGAATCAGTTATCTATCAAGTTTTTTAATATTTTAGGAAAAGTAAGTTGTCTCAAATAGAAAATTCTCAGTATGCGCTGTAGCCAGATGATGGGATCTTCATATTAGAACACGAGCTAAGAATTGTAGGCTTATTATGTAATGAGTCTAATGACTCTAGTTCACAGGGTGGAATGAGGATGCCTAGTGCGATCCATGAATATGGGACCAACAAATGGCAGGCCATAATTTTCGCTTATCACACTTCAGTCAATCTTGAGTGCTGGGCTTGCGTCTCCTTTCTCTGTTGTTCCATTGTTTCCTATAGTTCTCCTTCTCCCTCATAACGTTAAAGTTTACATGACTTTTCACACATGATAGAAAAGGAATCTTCGTGTGTAGTAGCTGCTGGAGGTTAAATAACTGTTCATACTACTGTCTAGTGTGTAAAACACAATGAAAGATAACGCCTTCAAATTCCATCAGCAAATTTAACCTCGGTGGAATTTAGTTATTTGAGGTAAATAATGTTTGGGTTCCCAATAGTTTACAGAATCAGTTTATAATTATTTTTAACCGTATAACATTCCTACTTTCCTGATTCATGGTTTTATTCTCTTTGGCGTAAGTTTACATAGCATCTATTTGTTTAACCAGCTCCACTTTTTTTATTTGTCTGCAATTTTGAATCTTTACTTACAGCTGACATAAACCTAACTTCCTCTATAGATTATAGTTTTGGGCAAATTTCTGCTCCTACTTTTCTAACTAAAAGTTTGAGTATTTCCTATGATTTCCCTGCTTCCGTCCCTGATCGTCCATGTTCTGTCAACAAGTATTTATGTTCATTTATGTACATGTCTACCTTGTACTGGTATTCTTTTCCTATCTCTTTGTGTGGATAACTATAGTGTATCCGCATTTGTACCTTCCAAAACTCAAAATCGTAAGTAAACATCAACTCTTTATCTTTTCATGTTCAAGTGGATGGGGCCTTAAAAAAATACAATATTCTCCTTTTCCTTGTTAAGAATAAGATTTATGATTCTAGATTATCAAAATGACATGAAAAATAAAAACCGTAATCTATAACTTCCTACTTTCAAATATTTGCAAAACTTTTTATACATTAAGACTTGCACAGCGTTCTTATCCGCTTTGCAACCTGTTATACTTTCCCGAGCTTTAACCAATATCTGACAAATTTGTACAGGTATTACACAGTACTTTTTGGCGTCTCCAGGAGCATAGGGATTTGCTCTCAGGTTTGCGATTACTATTCCATCCCCTGTAATCGATAGAATCTCGTCTTTGAAGTTTTTGTTAAGCCTTTGCTTCTAATGCGCAGCTCGTTTGGGACCGTGCTCTCGGTTTACCACTGGAGAGGCCAAAGAGTGTGACGATGGAATGGCTTGAGAAATACTGCAAGAAATCTGCGTAAATCCTCATTGGAGCGTGGTGATCGTCACATACCGTTTTTGTTACACAATAATTGAACTAGGTTCTCGGTTGAGAGAGAGTCAATGTACAGTATTTTTTTTTTTTTTCAGTAGGAGCTCGTTTTCCTCCTCCGGTATCTGGAGCATGAGATAATTTTCGAGTTCGGTATATTGTTGCTAAACCCTTATGTTTTTCTGGTGTTGCACGTTGTCAATAAAAGCAATACGGTCCTTGACTTTTATGGTATTTATACTGTAATTCATGACCAATGCTCGTTTATTACGCGTCGAGTCTGCCATGACTCAGCATTTTAAACATCTTATGATCAGCAGGTGTAAAATTATTGACGTTTATAAAAATGCTAAGCACGTGATTATCTAATGATCTTGGAGCTTGATTAAAGCATGGTGGGGATCTGTTTAAATGTTTGATGTGTGATATCTTTATAATAATAGGTATATTGTTTGATGTTTCTTTTTTCTCCCTTAAGTTACTTTGTGGTTAAATAAACAAGACCTCAGGAAGGGGGGAAAACAAAATAAAAGGTAATCGGACAAGAGAGATGCGCGCGACGCTTGGTCAATATAATGTTAATTTATTAATTTCTTTATATTTTTTATATTGATACCCAAATTAACTGATCCCCTGAGCAAGGAACACACGGGAATATCTGAGTCAGCTACAGAAGGGTGAGTCAAGACGATAAGATTGAGATATGGGAACCACAACAATTTGGAAATTTATAATTGTACTTCCACTAGCAAATGCGTGGGATCATTTTTTAAAAATTGTCAAGAAAAATTATGAGTTACCACGGTCTCTATTTTTAATTTTCTTGTGGGAGTTTAAATGTAGTATGAGTTTTGCAGTACAATTATTACATCAAAAGGGCATTTTCGGTAATCCAACTCCTAAAATTACTGTTTGAAAGTGGATATAGCAAACATGGTTATATTGGGGAGCTTTGCTACAGGGACCCAAAATATGGGACCAATAAAGAGGACAAGTGCGGTGTCCCCATCCTATTGGATAATGAGTTGGCCATCATTAATGATGGCCAACTCATTATTCAATAGGAGGGGGATACCTCACTTGTCCCCTTTATTGTCCCATATTTTGGGTCCTTCAAGAATTTTTCTATATTGGGATAGTGATTGTTATATTGGTAATCGTGACAGGTGTTTTTCATCTGGACTCTAAGGTCGCACATGTATCTACATTAGTAATCTTAAGGAGAGTTATTGGTTGATGATTTTTTATCGGGACTGGGATCTTTTCTAGGATTTAACTTTATGGTGTTATTGAATTATGATTAGGATTTGGGTTTTAATTTTAAGGTATTATTATTTTAGGACAATAACTTGGATTTAACTTTATGGTACCATTGATGGTTTACGATTACAATAGGACTAGGATTTCGAAATCCAAACCCTAATGTCTATTTAAGTATTAGATAAGAAAAATAGCAAATGGGTAATATTAAATATACTATATATTTAAAGAGATTAATGGGTATCCTTGTCATAGGAGGGGATTTCCTCCTATGACGCATCTAAAATCACATGATTGAGCGACATTGTGGATGATCCGCTCCGTTAAACTTGATCTACATATTCTAAAACCCCAACACACCAAATTTGGGGTGAATCCGTCGTCCTTTGACCCTCTATCGAGCCATGTGAAAAGTTCTATTCATTCAAAACCGTTAAAATTGATACGAGTGGATGAAGGGTCAAAGGACGACGGATTCATCCCAAACTTAGTGTGTTGGGGTTTTAGAATATGTAGATCATGTTCAACGGAGCGGATCATCCACAATGTCGCTCAATCATGTGATTTTAGAGGCGTCATAGGAGGAAATCCCCTCCTATGACAAGGATACCCATTAATCTCATATTTAAAAATATTAAATATTAAATATTAAATATTAAATATTTATTAAATATTTTTATATGTACATTAAATGTTTGATAAAATTTTCTATTATATTTAATGTTTAGATATTTAAATATAAAAAATTAGTAGTAAAAATTTAATCATAAGTTGTAATTATAGAAAACTAATATTAAATAGTAATTATGTTTTTCATTAAAGAATAATTATGGTTGTTAATATTTAACTCCAATAATCCATTCAAAAGTTAAAAACATTCAAAAAAAAAAAGTCCAGTACCCTAACCAAACTATTTCAGTCCTAATCCGAATCCACTACTAACATGTGATTGTCATGTGAAAGATTTAGATCTTTCAAAACCTAGACTTTTTGAAAAATATAGAATAGGAATGTCTATTTAAACAAGGATATTATCAACTTTTTTTATCAAAACACCGGTCGCTAAATCTTTTTGAAAAAGACAAGTCTATTTAACCAAGGACATTATCATCTTTTTATCAACAATTAACAACGTTTACTAGAAAAACAACGGAAATTGTAGCGTACATAACTGCAATTGAATAAAACTAGGAGGCATATGTAGGTAAAGGGTTTTTTTCCCCCTACATTAGTCCTCCAAAATCTTTTTATGTTTTGAAACTAGTCTCCCAAATCTTCTGGTTTTGAAATTAATCCCATAAATCTTTTAAGCGTTTTGAAATTAGCACCCAAATCTTCATAATTTGAAATTAAACCCCCCACCCCCAAAGTCTTTTAAATATTGTGAACTATGTTGCGATATTATCCCGTCAGCCACCACGCACGCACATCGCCGGCTGCCAACGAACATCCCCGTCGACGCCAACATGCTGTTACCTGATCTATCGCAAGATTCAAATGCAATCAGTGGTTATCAACTTTTGAAGAATGTTGCCCATATCCCAGGGAAACAGAACACATTAAAATAAAAAATAAATAAAATAAAATAAAAGGAATTTTTAGACAGCAGATGATGTTTAACTAGATCATCGGGCTTATAGAACCTAATAAGAACAATAATATAATAATTATAATTATAATAAATATGACTGCTCGCATAAAGAAATGTTAGCCACTCGGAAAGAGAATCGTCGGCTCAAACAATGCAACAAGCAAAATCCCAAATGACATGAATATCTTGCATATTCGTCTTAGTCGATAAAATGATAAAAGATAACAAATTGACTTAAATCGGATATATTAATGCATGGGTGGGTGGGTGGGGGGGGGGGGATAGAAAATTGTACTAACAGCTCTAGCCAAAATCTACAAGTATCTCATTTTAGCAAATAGACAGGCAAATTAGAACTGTCAAAATAATAAAAAGCAAGAAAGTTCTATATTCTTATTAATTATGAACGAGAAGCTCATACCTCTTAAGCACTTCATAGAATATATCTATAAAAGAGATGCTCTATTACAGGGAAGTCCTAAAAAAGCAGTAATAGATGTAATCTAGACATCTTTATTGAAGGCAATAGATGATATCTTCCAATAAAAATGAGATTAAGGACCAAACCACCAATCGCGAAGGAAAATGTTAAATCAGTTAATAGAATGTAGTGCATCCGCAAATGCAAAATCTGACACAAGGTCAAAATCCTATACATTAACACGCTCCAAATTCTTATTCAGAAAACAACACACGCCATTTTTATTTTTTATTTAACAGAGATTGTATCGCAGATCAAACAAATATGGGCAGCGCGGTAATAAGACAAAGATAATAAAGGAATTACGAGGAATTAGTTGGCAAAATCACAACTTTCATTGATAGGTCAGAACCAAATTTGAAATCTATTTATATTACTCCAGCCAAAATTTACAATTAATCAGGATAGTATAGTTATTTGTTCGACTTCATTTATAATTACTTCCTGAGTTCCACAATCACATACATATAACTTTAAACTTAAGAAAAGTTTTAAACCCTACATACTGAAAGAATCAGTAGGTTGGAGGATACACAACTTTCAGATTAAGGACCTGCCCACAAAACAATCAGATAATAACCAAGCGAAAAAGTGCCCACAAAACAATCAGATAATAACCAAGCGAAAAAGTAAACTAAATTGCTTCCCATAGTCAGACCTGAAGACTTTTAAGAGTGCACCTCCAATGTAAACCAAATTACCGATCGAACATCGACCGGTCAGCATAAAAGCAAAAACAAGTTGCTCTCGATATACCTGAAGGTAAAACATGCGTCGTTATCTCACAGAATTTGATTCGAAGGTAGAAGGTTATTAGGCAATGGAAAACTCACCATTTAAGCAACCCGAGTTATAAATAGGCCAACGAGTCAGGTCAATAGAAGTTCATTTGCTCCAAGATGAGGAGGGCGCATGCATACACGAACCTCATGTTCTTCTGGTCCCACACGGTGTTTTGGAACCATAATCTCTAGAATCGAACCAGTCTCATCGTAATACGCTTCAAGCTTGGCATCTTCGGGAATTCTCGTAGCAAGTGGTATCTCTCTTATGAACTCCCCCGGGGGGCAGTGCTCAGGCGAAGGGTCAGTTAGCTTAAAAGTCCTGTCGTGCCTTTTTACATAAGGCATTCGACCTGTACTAACACAGAGTACCTTCACTATGCCATGAGTGAGACTGTTCCTCCAAGAAACCTTCACCCTCTGTTGATCAGAGAAAGGGAGGCTAACCATTATAAGATATCCTTGATCATCTTCGTATATTGTCTTGGCAGCAGTAACTGGCCCATATGCATGCCTCATGACACCGGTGAAGTCATTCAACCAAGATGGCTCAACTGGGTGAATGTCCATTTCTTGGGCTCTCTCGGGATGAGAATTGACCGGTGAGCAGAAATCCTCCTCCGTTGTGTGGGGAAAGAAATCCTTGTCCTTTCTCCTTTTGCTGCTAGGGGAAAGATCCATTCCATCACCACTGGAGTGATTGGACGACTGAGTTGATAAGTTCAGCCCTGACCCATTAAGCAACTTCCTTGGTGGAGGATGTGCAGTAGTGCTCTTCAGAGGAGGAGGTGCAGCCCTCTCGAGCTCAAACTCAGCACTCGGAAGATTCCTCCATGAACTAAAATCACTGGCTTCCTGGGGTATTGAGAAATTAAGGTCTCTTCCAGTTAGCTCCAACCACTTCTTGCGATCAGCATCAGACACCACCGTCAAATTTGGCAACCTCACAATCTCAATCCCATGAACACACTGCGGGTTGGACAGCCCCCGATACTGCTTCCTCTGCATCCGATGGGACCGAACAAAGCCCTTATCCGCACTAAACGGAAACTGTGGCTCCCCGAGCCTAGAATGCCCATTCATATAACTCCTCAGCTGCATCTTACCAAGAGCATTCTCCGGCCTCTCCTTAAACACCCACATGTACATATTCTCCATGTCATGCTGAACCAGGAACACATCAAGCTTCAAATCCGATTTCTCAAACCCAGAGAACGAATTCCCATCCCAAACAATCTTGGCCTTCGACTTATCAGAAAGGACCGGCTTAAAGTAGAAGTTGAAGAAGAACCAAGCCCCCCAAATGGAGTCTCCTCGCTTCGCGCACTTACGGGCACCGGCCTTATGAGGCAAAATAAGGGCGGTGGCCTCGGCATCGAAGATTTGTGGGCCCGCAGGCCCGATATCTAGGATTTCAGCTGGGTTCCAAGGGTGTTGAGGAGGAGGGGAGTGTTCGACCGAGAGCGGGAGGTTTATATCGGGAGGGCCGGAGAGAGCCATCATCAGCTCACGATCAGAGTCATCGTGGGAGTTTGACTGGTTGTTAGGGCCTCCGGTCGGGTCCATGGAGAGGAGGGTTGACGGGTGGTGGTGGTTCTCCATGGACAAAGAGGTTAATAGGGATTCACCCATTGCTTTAGTTTTCTCTATTTTGTTCTACAAATCGAAAATTTTCCTTCTTTTTTTTCTTTTTTCTCTCCCTACTTGTATAATTTCTCCTCCTCCTCCTCCAATTTAGTGGTGCTATCTATCCGGAGGGTTTCTAATTCCCCCGCAGTCAATGAACGCATCCCAAAGGAAACCCTCACAAATCCATTCCATAAAGACTAAACTCTAGATCTCCAAATTTTGAAGTGAACCCCCACTCTAACCCAATTAAGTTAATAAAATTGTCTCAAAATTAGGATTTTGCTCCCTTTTATCTAGATAGCACAAACCCTAGAACCAGCAATCAAGCAGAAACCAACAGACTCCATAGATTGCAATGAAAATTCTCTGCAAACTAAAGACACCCAGAAACCCCGAACCCTAGAACTAAAACTCTGAAAAGGGCAAAATTCTACAAATTGAAAAGCACCCAGAAGCCCAAATCCCAAATGATCATCAAAAAATGATTCAAAACACGATCTTTATGTCAAAATAGAAGGAACCATGGTCGATTTTGAAATTAAAACGGAGTCAAAAATTCCCCTTTTTTTTCCTTAAAAAGAAAAAGATCGAAGGAAAAAGAAGAGAAGGAAGCAAACGGATCTGTTAAAGGGACCGTCAGTTTGGTAAAGCCCTCCACCGGATGCCACCCAATCTGCCGTTACTTAACAGTGACGGCGTCTACCTTCTGTTTTAATTGTATTTTCCGATTTAATTGGGGTATATACGTATACGGAACGTATATGTACGGTCGGTTGGTCAACAAGAGGCTCTGAGCTCTGCTCAAATTGTTCTGCTCCTTTTTATTTTTATCTCACCGGAAGTATCCAATGATTAGATCTTTGCAATCACTGTGAGGATGAGGATTGCCAATCAACGGTTTAGATCTCTCAAAGATGGGGCAGATCATATATAACGGTTAATTTTAGCACAAAAAAAACCCGCTCAACTGTAGGAATTGTCTAAAAAAAAACTCATCTCAACGATTTTAATGGGTATCCTTGTCATAAGTGGAGATTTCCCTCCTTATCGTCTATGTGACACAATCCCACCATCCTTATAAAGTAGGCGCAAATCCCCACCAACCCACACTCTCTCTCTCCTGCTTTATGAGAATGGTGGGGATTGTGCACATAGACGTCAAGGAAGAAATCCCATCTTATGACAAGGATACTCATTAATCTCATATATATATATATATATA